TTCCGTGATGGTCTGGGCTGTGCACACCACCTTCTGTAGTTTCTTACAGTCCTAGACAGAGCAGTTGCTGTACCAGGCCGTTATACCCTGGACAGTATGTTTTCAGTGATGCATCAGTAGAATTTGGTGAGGGACCTTATGACACACCAAATTTCCTGAGCCGTCTGAGGAAGAAGTGATGTTGTTGTGCTTTCTTGACTGTTGCATCTACGTGGGAAGCCCAGGACAGGTTATCGGGTGTGGGGGAGAGCGAGCCCTCTCGGGGGTGTGCAGAGGAGAACTGGCCCTTGTGGGTGGGTGCAGGGGTGAGCGAGCCATCGTGGGGAAAGCCCAGACTGGAGCGACTGCAGGCCCATGGCTATAGAAAAACTATAATGTTGAACTTTTTACTTATTTCTTTATTTTTCTATTTTGTACATAAGGTTTTGTAGTTAAGGTGGTGCCAGGAATGGCGACTATATACACTTTTCACTGTACTCCTGTATTTCTGTACTTGAGTACATGCAACAATAAACCTAATTCTAATTCTGATTCTTCTGAAGAGTTGCTGTAATTTAAAACTCATGGGGTTAATTATTTTCCGTTTTTGATATACTGTCACAACCCTGATTATGCACACTAGCGTGTGCAGACTGAGTACCCCAACAGCTGTCAGCTACTGACCTCAGTGGAATGACAGACTCTGTAAAAGCTTTCATTTTTGTCTGCTCCCTGGAGTGTCATGTAAACATTTTGTAATCAGAAACTATGCATTTACATAACTCTCTGAAAGTAACAGACCTTTCTGTACTTGACCTTTCAACTGACCAGAATATTATATACCAGTCCTTTTAGCACATTATGCATTGATGCTCGTTTTATTTGAGGCTTAGAGAGTTACATACTGCCTCCTAATAAACAGAACGTTCAAATCTGTCTCCTGCAGCACAATGCAAAACTGACCTGTTACCAGGGTAAACACCAGGACCTGACACCCACACACCAGGCTCTTAGAGTATGAAGACCAATATCCAAATGGATCTGCTTTTGGATTATGCTGGGAATGTGAAAGGTCAATGGATGGCAAAGGTTCACTCTGTGACCAAGTACAGAGTTAGGGCTTCATTCTAATCAGCACACAGCTGCCTTCAGTGTTCACAATATGTTAAAACAGGAGAAAATAGCTGGATGCAATGGGAATCTGGCCAAAGATCTAATTTGTTGCACTTCCCTCAGCACTTGATAGATCCATAATGATAATAGTTCTGTGACTTGACTGCAGGGTGTGTGTGGCAGGGGTAGGGGAGCCGCGAGTGTATGAAAGAAAGGAGAAATGTAAATGCACATATAATTTATCTCTTCTCTTAGCAACTTAGAAAGGGCACTGCAGCGTGAAATGGCTGAGCTGTCCTTTCCAAAACTAAAAGGACACCAAAAGATTTTCCTTGCCTTAAATACAGAGGCAGAGAGAAGAAGTATCAGAAAATGGAGATTTCATTCCAGAATGGACATATTGGTTTAATTAAATCACTAGTTTCTCCCCAGCAGTAAAGTACAAATGCGGCATTCAATATGGTCCCTGCAGCACAGGGAGCAGAAAGGTCAAAGACGGGATTTCCAGTTGCCACTTTCACACTGACACAATCAAGAAACATTTTTTTAAAAAACCTAAAAATCCAGTCAGCTGTGACTCAGTTGGCATCACCCTTACCCCTGTGTCACAAGATTCTGGCTTCAAGTCCTATTTTAGGGGCTGATCATAGAAATTTTGGACGCTTACTTGAGGAGGAATATAGTTGCATTGAAGACAGTTCAGAGGAGATTCATTAGATTGATTCCAGAAATGTCTTATGAAGAGAGATCTCGAGCAGTTTAGGCCCATACTGTCTGGAGCTTAGAACGACAGGAGGTCTAATTGAGGTAAACATGATGCTAAAGGGGATTGACAAAGTAGGCAGAGAGGATGTTTCCTCACGTGGGACAATCAAGAAGGAGAGATCATAGTTTTAGGATAAGGAGTGACAGATTTAAAACAGAGGTGAGGAGAAATTATTCTATTAGAGGGTCGTGAATCTGTGGAATTCACCACCTCAGTGTACAGTGGACGCTGTGATGTTGAATAAGTTTCAGAAGGAAACAAACAGATTTTAAATTAGAAATGGGTTGAAAGTTAATGGAGAGCAGGCAGGAAAAGTAGGGTTAAGGCCGAGGTGAGATTAGCCATTATCATGTTAAATAGTGGAGCAAGCTCGTGGGGATGAATTCCCAATCCTGCCCCGTGTTCTCATGTTCTAAATCCTGGATGACACTTCAGTGTAGTACTAATGAGGGAATGCTGCACTGTTGAAGGTCCATCTTTCAAGAGAGGTGTTAAACTAGGGCCCCATTTGCCTGTTTAGTAGATGTATAGATCCCATGGCATTGTTTTAAAGTAGAGGGAACTATCTCTGGTATCCTCCTAATACTTACCCTTCTATCAGCATCACAGAAACAGATTATGTGATCAATATCACATTGCCACTTGTTGGAGCTGGCTGTGAACACATTGTTTCCTACAACAATCAATTAAAACTTTCTAACTGATTAAAGATTTAACAGCGTCTTAGGTTTGTTTAATACATCCTCATCAGTGGTGTGACCCTTTGATCTTTTACTTATGAATTCTGTGTCTGATGCCACCTCTCTCACTAACACTTGAAGAAAGAGTTTATGTTTTCATATAAACCTGTTGGACTATGACCTGGTGTCATGTGATTTCTGACCTTTCCTACAATGCAACAGTGACTATACTTCACAAGTACTTCACTGGCTATAAAGCGCTTTGGGACTCAGTCATAAGTGCCCGATAAATGAAAGCTCTGCTTTCCTGTCACTATTAAATCTGTGTAAGTGTGAGTTCTGAGGAAGGGTCACCGGACCCGAAACGTTAACTCTGTTTTCTCCTTCACAGATGCTGCCAGACCTGCTGAGCTGTTCCAGCAACTGTTTTTGTGCCTGTGTAAGTGTGTGTGTGCACGCGCGCACATGTGCGCGCATTTGATGAGGACTAGATCAGGCCATGTTGTAAACAACCTGTTGACATGCACCATTAAAGCACGCACACACACAAAGTGAGGTATTGGAGAATTGCTGACAGTTGCGATGGAGCTAGGAGGGAACACTAGGATTTGACAGCATGGATGTTTCTTTTAAAAAGCAGCAACATCAAAGACACTGTTCAATCTGTGTACCCTTTTGGTTGCAGACTCCCCCCATCACAGATGCAAATATTTTATAATGAAATAAAACATATAATTTCCTGTGTTTGCTAATTTTAAGAACAATGAACATGAATAATCATCACTTACTTTATTTGCATATGTTATGGGATGTCCTAAATTGCTACCATTACAACATTCAGGTCTCATGAACCAAAGGCAATAAAGATGCCATCCCCTGGGCTGTGACTTTGTCCTGCACCCAGCTCCCAGTTGTAGAATGTGAGTTTCATGGGGCTTGTGTGATTTCACTGTGATTGACAGGCAGCCTATAACTTGTCAAATTATACGACCGTCCATTTGTTTTTAAAGATACAGGCTGACATGCTTGGCGAAGAGGCTATTTTTAAACAAATATCATCTGTGGCAAAGTGCAGCTTGAAATGCTTCGCCACTGCAATCCATAAACTGAACCCTAGACCTGGCGGGCTTACTGTCCTGTTTCTACCTTCGCTGTCAGACAGCTGGAAGCTTTATTGCAATCGTCATGAAATGCATGTTAGGGTGCCTACTTCTCGGATGATGATTTTGACCTCCGAGGTTGTTCAAACATTGAGAAGTCTTGAACACATCTCCCCCCACACCCTTAATGGTTTCAGCAGATTTCTCGCCCAGTCATTAATTTTGACAGCTGTGCTTCTGTGAATAAGTATCGAGATTGTTGTGAATCTTTACAGCTTACTTTGCCAGTCATGGATATTTTTCCTTTCTTAACCCAAGAGAAAAGTAAATCAAGTGTAATAATGTTCAGAGGCGACACCATTTATTATTTGCTTCCCTGACCACCTCGGACAAATGATTTCAAATCCTGGCAACATTCACTTTATATATATCAGGAAGGTAGCACTGACCATCAGCACCCACAAATTACACAATCAGTGCAGATGAAGGTCATTTGACACATTTTTATTCTCCCATCTCTAAACAAAAGTTCCACCCTAAGCATTAATTGTCTTTTTTTTTGGATGAATGAACTTCCTGACCCTAGCACTAAATTTGCCTTTCATTATCCTGAGTCCCTGACAGCATGTGACCTGTTTTTTCATCTTTCCTCAAAGAACAAAGAACAGTACAGCACTGGAGCAGGCCCTTCGGCCCACCAAGCCAGTGCCAACACGTGACGCCTTTCTAAACTAAAAACCTTCTGCCTCTATGCAGTCCGTATTCCCTGCCTATTCATGTATCTGTCAAGATGCCTCTTAAATGTTGCTATTGTGACCACCTCCACCACCTCCTCTGGCAGTGCATTCCAGGCAGTTACCATACCCTCAGTGTAAAAATCCTACCTCTCACATCTCCTTTAAATGTTTCCCCTTTTACCTTCAACCTAATAATTGATGTTTCTACCACGGGAAAAAAATTCCAACAATCCATACTATCCACGCTTATATCATTCTGTAAACCTCTGTCAGGTTGCCCCTCAGACTCCAAAGTCCAAGTGAAACCTCTTCTGGAGGTCTGGATTTAGGCTCATGAGGATGTCGTACTCTGCGTACTATGCCCAAGAATATGTAATAGCGAATATTGGCAAATTATCAAGAGGAAGAAGATTGGGGTATCACAACTAGACTCCCACTCAGCATTCAACAGCTTTGTCCAACCACACCAACAAAAAAAATGTTTTAGTATCATGCCCCATGACTATGTGCTGTTTGACTACAAACTTAGAGAAAAGATTACTATATTACATTACTTTGGATCTCATATTTAGATCTTTATCATTTATAAACACAATACGGTATTCTATCTAATTTATTCTTTCAGGTTGATAGAACAAAAACCTGAAGATGTCTGTGCTAGACACCAGGACTTCAGAGAATAAGAAAGTTACCAACAAGATGATTTTTGACTTCCAACAAAACGCACCATCAGACAACGACTCTGGCTGTGCCCTGGAAGAGTATGCATGGGTTCCCCCCGGACTCAAACTCGAGCAGGTCAGTAGAACTTGCCCACCAGTTACTCAGGGAAACAGACTTCATCTGGTCTTGTTAATTCAAGTCAAATTTTGCTGAAGAAAATTCAAATGTTGTCATGAATTAATGTTATTGAAATAGCACAAACTGGTGCTTTCTGGTCTGATTTCAGCAAATAATTTAAATTAAGCAGCATTGAATTAAGTGGAGTAAGTATTAAATGCATAAAATTGTAGTTACGGCTAATTCCTAGAGATTTAATTGGCGTGCTTTTAGTATAGTTTGAAATTTCTATCATGTTAATTTTTACCTTAATAATTTGACTATACGGGGAAACCTATGTCATGTTTTATTAACACTATTTATGAACATGCAAACTAGGAGCAAAAGGCCCTTGAACCAGCAGTGCTATTCAATAAGATCATGGCTGACCTGATTTTAACCTCAACTCTACATTCCTGAACAGCCCCAATAATCTTTCATCCCATGATATTCACAAATCTATCTACCTCTGCTTTAAAAATATTTAAAGATTCAGCTTTCACTGCCTTTTGAGGAGGGGGATTTCGAAGATTCATAACCCTAAAAGAAAAGAAAAGCTGGTTAAACATTACTGATAAGCGGCAAGTAACATTGACGCTATACAAATGACCATTACCTCCAGGAAGGAGTTCAACACTTAACTGTTTCCATTCAATGGCATTTCCATCAGTAAATGGAGGAGGCGATGGCCTGCTGGTATTATCACTGGACTGTTACTCCAGATAATGTCCTGGGGACCCAGGTTCAAATCCCACCATGGCAGATGGTGGAATTTGAATCCAATAAATTTCTGGATTTAACGGTCTAATGATGACCATGAATCCATTGTCAATTGTCAGGAAAAACCCACTTGGTTCACTAATGTCCTTTAGGGAAGGAAACTGCCATCGATACCTGATCTGGTCTACATGTGACTCCAACCCACAGCAATGTGGTTGACTCCTAAATCCCCTCTGGACAATAGGGATGGGTAATAAATGCTGCCTGGTCAGTGACACCCTCATCCTGTGAGTGAATTTAAAAAAGCAACACATCTAGAGAATTTCTATTGATCAGACCATTCCACATAAATACCACAAGATCAGATCAGAAATGGGAATTCTGATGCAAGTTACTTTCCTCATGACACCCCGTGGCCTGCTCTCCATTTACAGGAAAATACAGATAAGACAAATTCCAGGGGATAAGCCCGAAAATGTAGATTAAACAGTGTGCATGGAGATAGCTGAGGAGGCTTCTATGTAACCGAATTTCCCTCCAAATCGTAAAACATCCAAAGTGAAAACACACAGTAAAGCAATAAATATGAAAAAGAATCTCCTTATTATTAAAGTTAATCACACCTGACTTTGCAAAAGGCATTGAAAAATGTCAGGAGTTAGTTTTGGAAATACTCAGTAATCTTCCTCTGATTATCTTTGGGTAAGTGTGATACATGTTGTCGACACAACCAACCATGTTTACCATGCTGCAGTGTGAAGTCCCAGAGATTCTCTTTGGCCTTCGGTTTGGGAAACAAGAGGACCAGCAGCCAGGCTTTCATCAGATCATTTGAAAGTTCGGGTTATCGGCTTGGCTGATGAAGGCACTGCATTTACAATTGCCTCAGTTCTGTTGCTTAACCGTGTGTTTGTGTGGTGTTTGGTGGCAAGAGGGTCAACATAACACTTGTGAGGCCAATGATGTTGAGGAATGTGGGGGGTTGGGGGTGGGGGGTGCACAGGGAGTTGTCTGTAATAATGATAATCTTCCTTTTCTTCCATTGGGATATTTTGCCCACTTTCCTGAACCCTGCCTCAAAAGTGTTTGAAGTGGTTTTGATAGCTTGAAAATGTGGATCATTTCTTGATATTTGCAAGGGAAAATGGCATCCTGGACTTTCCTATCACAAGAACAGCATCTTTTCAGTGCCATTCCTGGTGCAGACTTAAGCGATGACATGTATTTTGCTCCAATTTCCACCATTACGCATTTTATCTTTGAACACTAAAGACTGGTCCAACAAATGACTGTAAAACAATCCAGTTTCATCAACGTCAATAATGTCTCTCGCTGCATATGAATTCAGGATGTGGCTGAGACTATCTTGGAGCCAATCATCTGTCACTGCTGCTGTAATTACTACACCCTCACTGCTTAATGTGCAGGAGATGGTGACATGTCTTCATTTGAATCAGTCTAGACTATGCAGATGAACTCCACATGGACTAGCCTCTCTGCCAGGGCACCTCCCCAGTCCTGAAGGGCTGGACTGGAGATGGGACATTCTCTGCTCAAACTGCCTTGAACCATATTAGCAGAGCTGCTTTAACATTGGAATAAGCAGCTCTATTCATCCTCCTCCTTGCTGGAGAGAATGCCTGCCTGTTGAATTGTTCCAAGTTGGTCTCTTTGTGGTTCCGAACAGGTCATAAACTCAATGGCAGAATTTCCCAACCCTTCGCAATATCTGCTTTACACTTTGTGCCAGGGTTTTACACTTGCTGTGTCAACTGCACATTCTCTCCAACTGTAACATGACACTTGTAACCTTCTCATTGGTTTAGGCATACATGCAGTGTTTGAACATTCTTTACACATGTAGAGCTCAATATCGAATAAGGTCTTGTGCACAGCTGTATGATTTTGGTGTCCTGTGGGATTACCCCATTCTGATTGATTGGCACAACCAAATGACAAGTTTACACAAGTTCGACTCAATAGCCAGTGTTCAATTTCAGCTTATCCCAGGGATCATTCTACTGGATTTGCTACTGTGCAGGTGAGAATGGCTAATGACTGCGACACACCCAGAGTTTCATGTCATCCAAATTTGAATCATTGCAATTTCATGCGACAAGGCAGAAGTTAACATCCTGACAGAGTACTCACCACTTACCTGAATCAGTGCTGGTTCAAGAAGTATATAGTCAACACTACATCCCAGCTTAAACATCTAACCCTTTCATTGCCAGCATGGTGGCTACAGTATGTAGCATCAATAAGATGCAATGCAGCAACAATGGCAAACATTCTTTGTCAGCAACTCCCAAATCCAAGTCCTTCACCACCTAGGAATGAAGGGCAGCAGATACATGAGATCAGCAACACCTCCAGGTTTATCCCAAGGTCCACAACACCCTGACCTGGATAACAATGACTGTTCCTTCCTGCACTGAGGGAGAACCTTCACCACACGGACTACACCAGTAAAACAAGATGGCTCACCACCACTAGCTCAGATCCAACACACTGCTAAACCATATCGCTGTCTCATTACAATTACACCAACACCAGACACTGCGCCTATTAATCTTCTTAAATCAAAATGGTCTTACATATCCAATGTTGGAGCTGCTCATCCTTTAATAAAAGGCTTCATTTCATCTATACTAGCTCAAAAACTTGGAACTCTCTCCCAACAGCTTTGAGCGAGCTCCTTCAGTACGGGGTCTGCAGCTCCTCAAGGAGACCCAGCACCAACTTTTCATGGAAACTCTAGATGCCCATAAATGTGAGTCTCGCCAGAGACACTATTGACCAGGACTGAATAGGGCACTTTGAGTTTGTGGACAGGAGCTGCTGGAGTCTAATCGGTGCACTACAGTCAAGTTGGCTGAGAAGCTCTACAAAACATATTTGTTCTAATATAACTGAAACAACTATGTTGTATAATTACTATGACATATCCCTGTGCTGCTGGAAGCAAACCAGAATAATGCTGCCATTTTGTTTTATTCCAATTCAGCAAAAGGATTAGTTGTTCCCTATGTCCCCTATAATAAATGTTACTATTCACTATTCAAAGCTGCATTATATATCAAGCCCTAGAGACTTCATTTAATTTTATATAATGAAGGCCCATCGAAAAACTGATTCCAGACCTGGGTGTCAGTGGAAAATAGAGAATAGCGTTTGATTTTATTTGTGGATCATTTTTCCCCTGTTTTTATCTCCCCTCAGCAATGAGCCCCTGTTCCCCTGGTCTCTTATGAAATGATTTTTCTGCTTTAAAAGAATAATAGAGACGGCTTTAAATCCACAGGTGCACCAGTATTTTCGCTGTCTACCTGAAGAGAACATCCCATATGTCAACAGCATTGGAGAGAAGTTCCGTATCAAACAGCTCCTGCAACAGCTTCCTCCCCATGATAATGATGTGAGTATCTGTGTGATTCTATACAAGCACAATTGACTCAAAAACTGTTAATAATTTGTCCACAAAGACTAACCACAAATGCAAAACAAAACTTCCAAGTGATTATTGTTTGAAAAGAGCACCAGCAAGATAACAAAGAATTATCAGACTTGTTCGCCCATCTAGGCCCATTGTCTGATTCAGCGCACACCATTTGCTGATACAAGTTGTTTGTGCCATTCCCTGTCCATAAATGTCGACAGGTCTTGATTTTCTGCAACATGTACGGAACACACAATAGCAAGTCAGTAGGAGATAGTAACAACTGCCGATGCTGGAGTCAGAGATAACACAGTGTGGAGCTGGAGGAACACAGCAGGCCAGGCAGCATGAGAGGAGCAGGAAAACTGACGTTTCGGGTCAGGACCCTTCTTCAGAAACCAAGGGTCCCAACCTAAAACGTCAGCTTTCCTGCTCCTCTGATGCTGCCTGGCCTGCTATGCTCCTCCAGCTCCACACTGTGTTATAGCAAGTCAGTAGCCTGTTTTTGTTCTCATTGATCTCAACGGCCTGCTGATTTGCTATTTTCCATTTGAATATTACGTAGTTGATGTCTGCCCACCTGTGTCAAGAACCTGTGCTCTTCACAAACCGTCAGTGTTGCATTCACATATCATTGTAGGGTCAGTGTTTGTTTTTCAAGTCTGTGGCCATGCGTTCAAACCTCACACCTCATACAATACATGCTGAAATACAGCACTCCTTGATACTGCACTGTACTGTTGGAGTTGCTAACCTTTGCACGATGCATCAAACCAAAGGTTCTCTCAGGGCAACTTAAAAGATTCCTTGGCACATTGAGGAAGTATAGGCAGTTCTTCCCGTTGTTCACTTGTATGCTTATCTGTCAACCGACCTTACTAAAAAACAAAGTTATCCAGATATTTATTTCTTTGCTGCTTAAGGGATCTTGCTGAGTGCAAATGAATGATCTTGGTTTCCAATATGACAACAGTAATGACACTTCAAACATATTACATTGGCAGTAAATCACATTGTGACATCCTAAGCATGTGAAAGGTGTTATGTAAATGCAGGCTATTTCTTACCTTACAGTCTTCCTATCAAAGCATCCAGCTTTCTTAAACTATTCCAGTTTTGAGATTTAAAAATAGACTGGAAAGACTGGGACTTTTCTCACTGTGTGTAGGAGGTTAACGGGTGACCTTACTGAGGTTTATAAAATCATCAGGAGCAAGGATAAGATAAATGACAAGGGTTTTTTTCCCTCGGGTGGGGGAGTTCAAAACTAGGGGACATATTTTTAAGGTGACAGGAGGAAGATTTAGAAAGGACATGAGAGGAACGTTTTTACACTGAGTGTGGTTCATGTGTGGAATGAACTGCCAGAGAAGGTGGTGGATGCCAGTACAGTTACAACATTTAAAAGACAGTTAGATAGTTTTATGAATAGGAAAGGTTTGGAGGGATATGGGCCAAGTGCAGGCAGGGGGGAGATTAGTTTAGTTTGGGAACATGGTCAGTGTGGACTAGTTGGACCGAAAGGTCTGTTTTCACGCTGTATGACTCTACAACTATTCTAGCCAGCTCACTGTTCCATGCATTGACCAAAATTTAAATAAGGAAGTTCCTGATATCATAAATTTAACATATACTAGTTGAAATTTGTCTCCCTTTGTTCTGCTGTCACAGTTTAATTTAAAGTTGAGCTCCAGCTCGATCATTTTATAACACTCACTTGTCTACATAACTCTATTAGATCCCTTCTCCCTCATCTTGGCTTAAAAGTACAAGTAATTTTAAATGAAACCAATATTTTAATATATAAACATGTCAAAAATGTTTAATAAGCCTTTCTTCGACCTGTGGGGCAAAGAGTAGCATGACTTTGAAATGGAACAGCAAATTCTGAAAACACACAGCAGAACCTTCAACGTTAAGGGAAAAAGAAAGATTTTTGGCACAAAAGTCTCCATCAGACTCCAGATACTGGCAGAGCTGATGACTATTTCCAGTTTTCACAGATCTTTTTATTTTCCTTACTGTCACTCAGAACTTTGTTCAATTGGTTTCTTTTGTGGAATAAAAATGATGAGCATTGTTTAAGATTCAAAACTCCATTCCACAAAAAGCAGAGAACAGCCATCTTTCTCCATGATTAATAAATCAAACAGGCAAAATTCTAACTTTGAAGCCACCATTGCTTAAATTGATAGATTCTTCATCTACCAGTTCTCATTTAAAAAGGAAATTTCAACGTTGCTCTCCCACACTCTCTAGTGTATGAAACATTTCAAATTAGTTTTCCACTTGCTTTTATTTTAAATGAAATAATGTAACAGTGAGCACAATGATGATGAACTTGCCCAATTGCAATCTTTGTGTTCTCAAGGTGCTTAGTGGTGTGGGCAGGGGAAGAGCAGGGGTGTGATGGGTTATTGCTACCGAACGGTCATAGAGTCATAAAGTCATACAGTATGGAAACAGGCCGATAAACAGAAATTGCTGAATAAGTTCAGTCGGTCAGGCAGAAATCAGAGTTAACGTTTTGGGTCCGGTGACCTGAAACATTAACTGATTTCTCTTCACAGATGCTGCCAGACCTGCTGAGCTTTTCCAGCAATCTCTATTTTTGTTTCTGATTTACACCATCTGCAGTTCTTTCGGTTTTTAGCCAGTATGATCTGGTCTGAGAACATTTACCACAAAGATAGGGCTCCTGTTGATACTGATGTCTTGAAGTTTAACAACTGTATTTCTATTGCAACGATATCACAGATAGACAGTCTGGGTTCTGTGTTTACTCATATTATCGTACATTACATACACTGACTGACTGAACACACTGCACAGATTCCAATGGACTGACAGTGACTGAAGGTGAGACAGGTACCTTTCTAATGGAAGATCACATGATGTGATTAAAGGTACGCCACCTGCCTGATCTGGAATCTATGCAAAAAAGCAACAATAGTCATTCCATAATAAGAGGATACCATTCAATCCATCAAGTCACTGCTGGTAAGTCTGCAGAACAATACAGTCAGTCCCATGATCGTGCTCAAACTCACTTACTCCTGAAAATCCCTTTCTCTCACATACTCATCCAATTTCCTTTCAAAATGAATAATCATCAAACATTCGCTGCGATGATCACAATTAACTACAAGTTTACGTTCTCAAAACTGCTGTCTAATAATCAAAATGTCCAAAAACCAGATGGTTTCTAGAACGTGCCGTGCACCATATTTTTTCAACATTGCTCAATTAAAATCAACTTCCACGTGCCTGGACAATTCTGATGCTGACTTTGTGATCTGTTCGTCTCCAAGTGACTCCTTGACACCACATGACCCAACTGGACTGAGCACCCCGCTGAACAAAGCAGCTGGCTTAAAATCTGGAAAAATCCAAAATTTTGCATGGGCTCGGTCCCACGGTTGTCAGATTTGAGAGATTGTATATGAATGCAAATCAACCTTTAATAATCCCTGCCAGTTCTTGCCTGGTGTTGAAGAGCATTGTCTGGTGTTGTGCTAAACCATACAGAACAGGAGGACATTGGAGCACATAGCCACCAATTCCTGCAGGAAGCAGGTTAAATAAATACGGTGATTTAGAAAGCATTCCTTTTATTAGCTGAGGCACAGAGCATGCTTGCCATGCTCCACCTATATAAGACACAAATAAAGCCACAGCTATAAGAGTTCTGGTAATGGTATTACAGGAAGGATGTTATCATGTTAGTAAGGTTACAAAAGAGATTTACAAGAATGTTGTCAGAATCAAAGAATTCCAACCAAGAAGATACATAGACTCATTCCCCTTAACGATGAAGGTACAGATTTAAAGTAATTGGCAGAAGGATCAAAATGCAGTTGAGGAGAAATGCGACCTTCAGAGGGTGGTGGGTGGCTGGAATTCACTCCCTGTAACTGGTCATGGAGACTAAAGCCCTCATTTAAAAAGTACATGGCTAAGAACTGGAAATGCTGTAACCCAGAAGCTGCAAAGTGGGAGTTGGGTTGCTAACTCCTGGTACAGTCACAATCGGCTGAATGTTCTCCTTTTGTGGCGTGAACTTCCATGCACCCGAAGATTCTAGCTTTGATTCTCAATTTATACCGAGTTAATTGATTTGGGGCAGTGGTTGGGACATCCAACAATTGCTTTTCTTTGCCTGGACATAGGGAGTTAGTTAACCCAGCGTGCCCAGCGATCCAGTGGTCTTTGCTAGAAGAGTAAGTATGCGATGACAAACTCAGCTGAGCATGCCTTCATATCTGGACTAATAGAAAAAATGTGATTGCTTGGAAAAGATAAGGGAGGCTGTCAGGCACCCATGGAACAACAAATAAGAAGTGTGGAGGGAGAAATTGGTACATGGAAACGTTGCCTTGTTCCTGTAGTCATTTTTAGGCTATAAACTGAATATTGGCACTATAGTTCATAAATGGTTAATTTCTGTTCCCATGAGAAACAATAGCAAATGTAAAGCATCAATTGGAACATTGAAAACTATTACAACAGTTCATTTGTTAACTGCAAAGGGAGTAATAAAGAGTATTTGGTTTCATGAACAAACCTCCTAAGGTAAGATTACCATGAGGAAACTAAATGAAAGCTTGTATGGCTGGCTACTAAAACATAACAGACTCTTAGTATAGCAATTTCTCACATACTTAAATTGGTTTGTATAATGCAGTAGCAGTTAAAAACCGTCTTTAAATGCACAAAGGACAATTATCAATACATTTCAGTTAAGGTATTCCACCCACAGTCTTGTGTTATGATCAGTGCAGCAAGAAAATATCCAGAAGCCATTTTACTGAAAATAAGGTCTCTTCACCAAAATTGAAATAATATTTTCTTAATTGTTAAAATGGAACTGGACAATACAACTGTTTCAGTTATACTTTCCTTCTCAAGTTGGGGCCCATTTTGTAATCCAGCACAGACCAAAACATTAAAGGTCTCTTTGACAGCGTGAAGTGAAATGT